GGGCGCCGCCGCCGCGGACAGCCGGGCGCATGGGGCCGGCGGCGGCCGGGGCTGCTGCATGGGCAAGGCGGGCAAGCTCGGCAAGGCGGCGCTGGGCTCCGAGGCGGAGCTGAAGGCGCTGACCCACGCCGTGCTCAAGAGGCTGAAGGAGAAACAGCTGGAGGGGCTTTTGCAAGCCGTGGAGTCCCGAGGGGGCACCCGGACCTCCTGCCTCCTGCTGCCCGGCAAGGTGGACTCCAGACTGGGTCAGCATTGGTACTCCCTCCCTTTGCTGCTATGTAAAATATTCAGGTGGCCCGATCTCAGGCATTGCTCGGAAGTCAAGAGGTTATGTTGCTGTGAATCTTATGGAAAAACTCATCCAGAGCTGGTCTGCTGCAATCCCCATCACCTTAGCAGGCTCTGCGAACTAGGTACGGACAAGGGGGGGGACACACACGTACGTGCACGCACACACATGTGGTTTGTATGGATTGCATGCACACGCGTGTGTGGTCTATGGACTACACACACACAGGCTGTACACATGTCCTATATGGGCTGCACACGCATGTGGTCTATCAGGACTACACACACATGTGGTCTATGGACTGCACACAGACATATGGTCTGTATGGACTACACACACACACACACACACACACACACACACACACGGTCCATATGGACTGGTTGGACACTTGTGAGTGTGCATGGGGGTGGCAGGGCTGGCGGGTGCATGGTTGCATGTGCAGAACATTTGGGGGAGGAAAGAGGTGCTGAGCCGCGGGGTTTGGCAGCGGTGCTGAGCGGGCAGAGCAGGATGGTGCCCGCCCCGGGGCTGCAGGAGGGGGGAGGGCGGCTGGGAGAAGGATTCGGGAGACTTGAACTTGGGGGCTTGGCCCGGCCTGGCCTGAGGGGCAGAGCAGCCAGCCTAAGGACCGGGGGACAGGCCCCCTTGCTCCTCCGTGCATACAGACATGCCCAGCCGGGCTGGGATGTGCAGGCGCTGGGGGCCAGTGGGTCCCAGCCCCCGCAACAAGAAAACGTTTGAGAGCTGCAGCCATGCTGCCGCCTCCTCCAGGCACAGCTTTGTGTCTCCAAATAAGCCCCAGCAAAAAAAGTTTCGGTGCATTTGCCTGGCCGGTGCATGAAGGCAGGGCTCCCCCGGCAGTGTTCTTGGTGGTGCTGTTCGGGGCGGCGTGGCGCCCCCGGCCCGGCCGGCCGCCGCCTCTCCCCTCCTCCTTCGGAAAACATGGCAATTACTTGCAAACTTTGCTTAGCTGCTGTAGCGCAGAAATCGGCCCCTTCTGACTAGCGGGGAATTGCTGAAGGGCAGCCCTTGATTATTATTTTCCTCCTTCCACTTCCCCCCCCTCTTCCCCCCAGCCTTTCTTTTTTTTTTTTTTTTTTCCCCTTTTCTGTGAAATGTTAAATGTGTATGCAGCTAGCAAGGATTATCTGGCAGTCGGGATCAGTTGGTGATTTCCAGAGCTGGAGTGTTTTAGCTGAGCCAAGGAGGCCCTGATCAGACAGCCAGAGTAGCAGATAGCAGGGAGACTGGCGCCAGGCGGCCCCTTTTGTTTATCTGACAGCTAAATATCAAGGCAATCGCCGCTTAGCTGCCCTGCCTCCAACCCCCAGAGCTAAGACAAACAGTTTTGCTAAAAGAATGCCACTGTTATCATAAGTTCCTATCTTTTTTTTCTCATGGCTCTGCCTTTATTTTCTCTGTACTTTTCTAATTCCAGAGTCTCCCCCTCCGCCCTACTCCAGATATCCAATGGATTTTCTCAAACCAACTGGTAAGTAGACCTTTAAACAGAGGCTACTGTCTTCAGATAAAAAGGGAAAACAACTCTTTCTCCGGGGAAATGTTTCTTGCCTTTGTTACACGTCTGATGCATTTCACTTTTTGACCATTTCACTGGGGTGTTCTGCGCTTTTTAACCCCCCCGCCCCATAAGAAGGAATACATGTTTTGGCTCTGAAAAAACCTCCTGCGGCTGTCAAATTTAGCAGGGGATCTGGTAGGGATGGTGATTGCAACTGCTGGCTTTTCCCAACAAGGGACTTGGAACATTTTGGAATGGATCTGAAGAGAAAGTAATGTCAATTTGGAGGTCTTGCCCACTTTGCCTAATGAACACCTTCTCAGGCAGTCTTCCCAGTGTAGCTGATAATGTTATGTGGCACAGGGAAAAAATGCAAGGCTTGTTCTCAACCCTGTTCCCAGTGATGATGCATTTAAGATTAGTAGAGGTTGTAGCAGAGGAGTGTAGGAAATTTTTAATTTCTCATGAGTAAAGGCACAGAGCAGTTTTGACACATGTGGTTTGTGCAGATCTTCTTGATGTTTGAAATCCTCTGGAATTCAGCATTATGAGATTTTTTTATTTTTTTTTTATAAATGGAAGGGAATATCAAAAGTTTTTTAACACAGCTCTGCATGCCTGTTGCTTGTAATTGAATGGCAGACTGCCAGGGCAGAAGCCCATTTGAGGCTGGCACCAAGCTCTGTTGCGGTTGTCTGCATAAACTTCTGGTTGGCAGGCAGGCTCACCCTGTGTTAGATAAATAGGACTGGCATTGTGGAAGGAGAGAGAGGTTTAGTGGAAATCGGAAATGTGGATGAAGTCAGGGAAGGGCAGGACTCCACCGAGACGCTTCATATCTCTCTGAAGATTAATGGACCCAAAGTATTGATTGCAGCACGATTGTCTTTGTGATTGCGTCTTGAAGTCACGCAACGCAGCCTGCTATGAAGGAGAGTCAAAAATAGATTTCTTTCTAAAGACCCAGTTCAGGTCTGTTTTTCTAAAATTGTTGCTGTTTGGTTGCTTGGGATTGGCTGCCTGCTGGAGCCCAAGCAGTTCTCAGCCCCCAGGGGATGAAGTTTGTCTTTTCGCTTCACAGTTTCCCTCGGTCAGTTCTTAAAAAACAAAAAAAGTTTGCTCTAGAAAACTAACTCTGATTAAATTAAGTTCTTAGGAACTTCCAGGACTGGATCTTATAACAAGGTCCATTTCTTTCCCCATTGTAAGCTCTTATAACACACAGGTTTCTCTGTGCCATGGGGAAACAGGCACAGCTGTTCAACTAATGAATGGGTTGCATGTAATATTTTGCCTTAGTCTTTAAAAAAAAACACTAGATAAAAGTTCATTATGTAATGAGGAGATATCAGTGTTGTGCTTTACATCCCTAACAAGTGTTACTTGCATTTACTAGCTGTTCTGATTAAGGAACTGTTTCTTAATATAGTCGAGTGTGGACTGAGTAGGACAGAATTTTATTGTTAGAGGAAGAACGTTATCACTGAGACAGTCTGTAACAATCAAGAGAGTGATGCTTCCTTAGGACGTTCAAAGGCTTAGGCCTTTTTTTTAACCGAATAATGACCCTGGGGGAAGACACAAACTGATCTGTGGACAGTTGAGGAGGAGAGCTGCTAACATAAAACTGTAGGAAAGAAGAGTTAATGATTGCCTTGAGCTTCCTGTAAAGATGTTAGGATAAATCTATTAGCAGGGTTTAAACATCCAATCTGCCTTTGCCAGGACCTCATTTTCAGTTAGTGGAGTGATATATTTATTCATTAGCAAGTGTTGACATAAGGTAGCAAAATGTGTGTAAACAGAAAAGCCGCAGAAATGAATGTGCTATTTTGAAAGGAAAAGTTCTTCATATCGGCCAATAGGAAGTGATTAATGCTGCCAATCGGAAACACAAAAACAACTGGTTACTCACCAAAAAAGTTTTTTTTGTGCTTTTTTTTTTTTAATACATTTGGCAGTTGGATTCAGAATAGGGAAGTGCACGGGGCAGTGACAGGGACAAAAGACATCTGTAAGTTTGTCATTGCAGGTGGTTTCACAACCTCTGGCAGGTTTTATTTTTGGTCTCCTCTTTAATCGAGGCTATTGTGGAGAGCAAGAGCACACACATATGGAGCGCTGTGTGTAGATCGCGTTGCTATCCCTTGCTGCAGACACAACCAGGCTGGGAGCATGCTTTCTCATGTTTTTCTAGGTTTCAAAGCATTATGCCAACCATTATTTGGTTAGAGGCTACTTAGATGAAAAAATATTAGCTTTCAATGGAAGGGGGTTCAAATTGGGCAGATTTTAAACACAGTCCTGTCCTTCCTGTTCTTCCACTTGCTTTTGTTGCACATCTTTGCAAAGAGATTGTGGCAGAGGACCCAGCAGGCTGAGTGAGTGGAGGAGCCTTTCTACTATGATGATGAAAACCGCTTGGTCAGTTCAGCATTGTTATCTACAGAGGCTAGCGTCTCTACTAGGAAGCTTGACACAGGATGTTGACATGAAATGCAGTGCTATTATTAACAGGAATATATCAGCCTTTAAGGTTAAGTCATGCAAGAGCTTCTAATGAAGAACTCCAGTTGGAGTAAGTGGGGATGCTGCATGAGCAAGGCTTGAAGGATGAAGCCCACAGTCTTTATAAATGGGAACGAAAGCCAATAAATAAGTGTAGTTACAGCAATTTTCAGGATGGGTGAAGTGAGATTTAGCAAAGTTTCCTTGGACAGGGACACGCAACAAATCATTGGCAAAGCTGAGAGTAAGTAGACTCCCAAAACTTCGGACGTAACCGAAGTATATTTTGCAGTGACTTTACAGCTTTTGTAAATGCTCCTGGAGCAAAGGGCTGTACCATCCTTACTCAAGAGCATGAACCTGCAGCTCTTATTGTTCCCATTAACTTCAGTGATAGTCATCACCTCTGGAAGGACTGCAGATGCGAACTCCAAGGGAATTGTGCTCTTGATATAATATGACCCCAACTCTGTGTGGATATGAACCTTCACAGAGAGTCTGGGGTGGGTGGGGGTCAGTACAATGAAGTCAGAAGTAGAGGGGCCGTTTAACTAGTAAGTCCATCTTTCTGTCCTGGGTATGACCATAAATTGCATCCAACTGGAGGGCCTGGTGGCAGTGTGGTGGGGTGACTCATGGGGAAGCTCCTATAAAATACCACAGTGTTGCAACCTCCAGAGTAAGGCAAGTATAGGGCTCCTCAAAACCCTAGCCCTGCTGCCTTGCGGGTACTCCTTGGCTGGAGAAAGGCTAAGGGACATCACCCTGGCAGAAATGTGCCCACACTGAAGTGCTGGCAGTCAGCAGCTGCTCTAATCTGTTGGTCTCTGGCAGCAGCTACAGCCATCGGGGCACTGAGTGTCTGGACTTGGTCTGGCCTTGGGACTCTGTGGCCCAAAGGGTCTAGGGCAGACTCCACTCCTCCATACTCTTGCCTAGATGAAGGTCTTGATGTGATGGTCGCATAGATCTCTTGCACGTACACCATGATCCAGAGGATTGATGTTTGCCAAGTCTGTCTTGCTATTCCATATCCATGAGCCCTTTCTGTGTGATGGTGTAAATGGCCTGGGCAATCCTGCCTCCTTTTCAATGGCTCCTGTTTCTGACTGTGCTGGATTTCCAGGGCAAGAAGGATGCTGGTGTTCCCGTGTAGGTCTTTGACTTCTTGAAAGTGGCTGGGCCTGTGGTTTAGCTTCCACAGGGTTTTGCTGGACTTCTGGTTTCCTTACTTCCAGGTGGCTGCACACTGGTTTTGCATCAGCCTGGTTAGCATCAGTCTGTACTGGCTGGGTCCGGCTGGACTCGTCTCCTCTGGAGGCAGTCACTGCCACCCATGGCCAGAGGAGGTCTCACAAGAGCAAGTTGGAGGTGCTTTGCCCCCAGTTCCTTCCAGGGATAAGTAGAAAGTAACCCTAGGGGCAGCTGGCCTCTGGGTTCAAACTCCAAGCCCTGAGTGCCTGAGGATGTGGTGGAGAAGCTAGCCTGGGTGGGTGGCTAGTCCACTGGGTTCTGTTTCCCAGGTAGATTTAAATATCCCATATGTTTGTCAGCTGAGAATCAGGATGCAGAAAACCTAACTCAGTGTAGCAGCATGCTGCGTGCCCTCAAGGGTTGCAGATTTGAATGGGAGTTGAAAGTTTAGCAACTTGCAGGAAACATTCAGCACCTCACCGGGCTGGGCTCCTTGTCTTTGCGGTTTCACTTTCCCTTGAAATGACTCCTTTTGGGTGATAATTGACTTCAGGCATGAAGGGATAAACAACTAGTCACTCTGGATGAATTTCTCAAGTTTTGGAGGGATCCAGTCCTAGGAAAAGATGACAAAATACTCCATACCAGCCAGAGGGCAGGGATAATGGGAAATGCGTGGATAAATTAGCCAAGTTTAACGTAAAGAACGTAGGCGGATCACACCAGTTGCGTAGGCCGTACCTGGGCGTTGCACTTCTCCCAGTTCTGAAATGTGCTGTTCTTGGTCAGGTGTCTTTTTGTGTGTGTAATGAATCAGTAAAGGGAACTTAATGTTGGGTATTGGAAAGTAACTGAAGTCCAGAGAGCAACCAAATGAAAGTATACTGGGTTGCACCATCATATCCTGATGCAGAGCCACAGTCAGGAAGGTCCAGGCTTTTGGGAGGGTCTGAAGAAACACAGAGATGGTATTTGTGTTTGAGTTTGCCTTGTAATAAGATTACTCTAACTCCAGAGCAGTCTTATGGTTAAGGGTATGTCTTTTTAAGTCACAAGAAGTTGACATATTGCTATAACTGTCTCTTGCTGTCTTGAGAAATAGATCCTAAGTTACTTAAAAATGTCTGGTTTACTAACAGAGGACCTGGTTATGTTTGACCCTAGAGCAAGATGACATGTAAGGGGCAAATTATGTCCTTTGATGTATGGCACGAGGCTTACACTGACTTCCATGTGGGAGCATGATTTGCAAGTAGGGGCAGATCAGAGCTCAACAGGCAACATTGCTCTGTAGCACAATCCAACCTGCAGCTCAGGAAAGCGCGGGCAGAGGGAAAGCAATTAGCAAATTCATTTGAAGTAATCTTAGGGGAAAGGGACAAGAGAATCTTCTATTTTAGATTGGAAAGTAGAAAGGGGTTAAAAAAAAAAAAGCAGCTTTTCCTGGAACGTAGAAAACCCTACAGGGCATTTAGAAAGTGTATAGTATACAGTATTTCACAAGTAAGTCTATTTCCTGTCGCCCCTATTGTTTTCAGTTTGATTAAGTGTATCCTGTTAAACTGTATATTCCTGTTATGGGTTATACTTTACTCTGATAAAATGAGATTACACATACACATGTTTTTTCACTAGTTTTCAGAAGCCAGTGCTTGGCTGGGGGGGGACGGGGGGACGGGGGACACATCTTGTAACAGAAAAGTCAACCCTAGTAGCAGTGGCCCTGGCTGAGAGAAAGCCAGAGCTGAAAAGATACAATTTGGAGTGTCCAAACTCTGTGAAAAGAAGGGTCATCTCGTCAGCATGCCAGGAGCCTGTGCGTTGGATGTACGCTGAAAGTGCTCTCTTGACTTTTTAAATGCACCGAGCCCCCAATATCTCCATGTTTACATTTCCCTTGACACAGGATTAACAAAAGTGCAAGTTTACAAGCAATACTAGGTTGATCAGTGTGGATCTCATGCTACAGTTACGTAGAGGGGGAAGAGCTACAGTTACGTAGAGGGAGAAGAGCGTTTCAGTGTTTCAGACTTTGTCCCTCTCTGAACCAAAAAATTGTAATCTGTTCAGAGGAATGGTTAATGAGACTCTATTTTTTTCTTATTTTCCCTTGTAAAAATTCTGTGCAGTGGTGGATGGAGGGATTCAGCCCAGTCAGCCAGTTAGAGTCCATTGATGCGCACATAAGACAGTGGAAAGCAAAGTAAATTCCCATGAATGACAGGCAAAGTGTTTGAGTAATTGAAATTGGCCAAAAAGAAAAGGGCTCCAAAAATGTAAGCAAGAGAGCAAAGCCCTTATTAGACTGTCGGTGACAGAAAGTGTTTTTATGTTTCCCAGTTTAGTACTGCTACCTTGCTAATATAGTTCTGTGCTATAGTCAAGGTGTAAGACACTGTTTCAACTTTTTGGAGTTCAATCAGTTGCACAAGAATGGCAGACTTCAGCTAATTACCCAGTGACTAGGACAAAAAAATTCCAGCCAGCATATAATTTTTGCATGCCCTGACTGATGATTAAGTGGCAGTGTGGAGCCTAGACAAGGGTGATGAGTTAGGGTGGAAGTATCACTATGAACTGGGCAGACAATTAGTAATAGTTTCCTGTTAAACCCTGTGGTATGTGTCTTCTGCTCTTGACATTGTTTACAGCGTGTTAAGGAACTAATATTAATAAAAACTATTTCTCACTAATTTTTGCATGCCCTGACTGATGATTAAGTGGCAGTGTGGAGCCTAGACAAGGGTGATGAGTTAGGGTGGAAGTATCACTATGAACTGGGCAGACAATTAGTAATAGTTTCCTGTTAAACCCTGTGGTATGTGTCTTCTGCTCTTGACATTGTTTACAGCGTGTTAAGGAACTAATATTAATAAAAACTATTTCTCACTCTTTCCCCCGCTGCAGCAGATTGTCCAGACTCTGTGCCTTCCTCCACTGAAACAGGGGGAACTAATTGTCTAGCCCCTGGGGGGCTTTCAGGTAAGACACATTTCATTACATTTACTCTTGTATAAACTCATTCAGGTCCCTTTCCTCCTTGTTACACCTGAAGTGCCTTTTATTTCCAGACTGGGTGAAGTAAGAATGGTGCTGAGGCTTTATAAGATTTCACGTCAATTAGGCTGGGATGTCAAAAGGAGAATTGCTGTCCCTGACGATGCGAGTGGAGCATCTTATTCTTTTTAGTTTGGTTGGAGGCCCAAGTCTAAGTAATCCATCCACTGAAAGTCAGTGAGACCTATCTTCCTTGAATCCTACCGGTGGAGTAGATTTGGTGCCTGGGGATGGATACATCAGTGTGGAGAAAGGTGAATGTTGTTGCTAATTCACTACAAGCAGATTAATTAAGCAGGTGCATTGCAACTGTACCCTCAGAGAGAGTTTCATGTCAAGTGCTCCTTGCCTTGGTTCGGGTAGTACCCTTAAGTGCAGCTGATTCTGTTGGTAAGGTGAGCTGTGTCTGACCATTGGTCTTGAGTCTTTGTGGGTTTTTGTTATTTAACACAACTAGTGTCTGTTCACCTTTCTGGCTACAGTACAGTTAATAAATAATAGCATCAGTAGGCATAATGGCCTTGCTCAGGGACATCTCGGCTACTAAGTGTTCTCCATTCCCAACTCTTGGGGTCTTGTCTGAGAGAGGCAAACTAGCTACAGCAGGTGAGCAGTTAGGTGAGAACCATTCAAGTGCACCTGCATTTTACATACTTAAGGTCTAAATGACGTCTCCAGCTATATGGGACTGGTGCAGAGAGATGTACTCAGGGGCCAGGAACTGTATGGTGTGGACTCAAGAGCTGGATGGCCCAGGAAAGAGCTGGGCGTGATGGTGTGAAAGGTCCAGCTGTCCTGCGTGCCAGGCGTGCGGTGTGTGCGGAGAACAGCTGACTGCATCTGGTGTGCAGGTGCCTGAAAGGGAACTTACCTATCTGCTGTATGCCACATATAGGAGACATGATTGGCTTTATTTTTATATGGAGCGGTCGCATCCTCACAGCTCTTCTCAGCGTCAGTGAGAGAGGGCCTTTCAGGGGGTGCAGTGCTTCCAGTCCCTCTTCCATTTCCCTGGTCCATCTTCCTTTCAGGAGGCGTAGCTGAGCCCCGTGTTGGAAGATGCTGCCCCTTGTCAAAGCGTCTCGCTGATTTACGATTTGTGGAACATTTTCTCCGTTTGCTGCCCTGTGACTGGCATTTTAGAAATCTGGAGGCTGCTGCTTTGCATGCGTCTTCCCCCTCCGCCCTCCTCCCCCCTTTCTCTCCAGGAATTGCATTTGGTGTGGATGTCTTTAAGTGAGCCTTGTTTGTTTTTCTTGCAGTGTAATATATACCCTGCCTGTTATTGGAGAGGGGAGCATATTGTTTGTTCAAAGGCCCTAATGAGAATTAATCAAATGAAGGGAGAGGGGGAGCTTGTGGTTGGTCTCTTCCCCCCCCCCCTCCCCTTTCTGGGGCTGTAACTTTGGGGGCAGAAAATGGGTGGCAGAGGGAGGCTGCAAAGGAGCACAAGGTAAAACAACACAATAAGGATGTTGTTAGATCTTTTTTTTTCGCCGTGAAATATGTGGGGTGGAGCGGGGGGGGGTGAGCCGAGTTCCCCAGGATACCACATGAAATAAGCAGAGGAAGTACTCGCTTTTAAAAGGGGGCTTTTTGAAAGGTTTGCGTTATTGATAACATCTCGTCTGTCTGGTCTGGTCCGGGAGGGAGGGAGGGGGGCTCGGGCTGCAGGAAATAACAGGGCTTGCCTATGAATGCCTTCTTAAGGGGCTCACCGGGGTAGTTCGGTCTCGCAGCACATCAAGAACCGGTGAAGGT